TGGGGGGGCCCCCTGGGACACAGAGTGCCGGGTGGTCCCTGCACGGAGTGCCTGGCTGAGTGGAAACCCCTGCCCTGGGGCTCCTCCTGCCTGATACTGGGGAACTGGGCTTCTCCATTGAGTTTCATGTAAGAATCAGGCAAGGGTACTGACAGGCTGCAAGGAGACAGGATTCCAGGCTTGGGAGCCACACAAGGCTATGGAAATGCTGGACCCCAAGAACGCGGGCTGGGTGAGAAGGTGGCCATGGGCTGAGGACACCAGGTCATTGGCTAGGGACATGGCACCGTGTTTTTTAATACGATGACAGACAGATGGCTCAAAGGGAACCTTCTACGTTGCTCACCGGCAATTCAGATGTCTGGGTTTGGCTTCCCTTTGACCAATGGGCTGTGCCCAGAAACAGCCCAGTAACCCCTCTAGGGGGTGCCACCCACTGCAGCCCTGCGAGGAAACGGGCACCATCGTGGGTGTCTCATCAATGCCACAGGCCTTTGTTTTGTTTGTCCCTCCTGACCTGTCCTGGGATCCTGGCCGTGGGGGGTTATGCTGCGAGTTCCTTAGGCACACGGGGCATAAGCGAAGGCATGAGCTCTTGAGAGATGGGGTGTGGGGTGGTGTGTGTGTGTGTGGGGGTACAAGCCCTTCATGACTTGACGTTTTTTAACCACGCCAAGCCAGGCGTTCTTCACTGGGAGTGCGTCCCTCGTGAGTGAGGGAACTCCACCGTGTTTCATGCACACAACCTGCCATCTCCTCATTTATTTCCTAGTCTCTTTGAAACAAAAGTTCAGGGTTTGTTTTTTGGATTGGGCGGGGGGAGTGGCCAGGGGGGGGGTCTGGAAGTCCCTGTCAGCTGCTATAAAGGGTTAAAAAAGATCCTTTAGAATCACATCGGAGCACAGGGATGCAGCCCCGGTGCCTTTAAGGTCAGGCCACAAAATCAAGGATGAAGCACCCAGGCTCTGAGGAGGATCCCCGGCCGCAGAGTAGCCAGTGAGCACAAGCGCTATGGATGGCCTGCCGGCCTCCTGCAGGGGCTCTGGGAGCTAAGGGTTGTGCCCCCAACTCCGGCTGTACAGAAAGCTTTCTGCCCTGGCTGCTTCTCCCAGGACTCCCGTCCTTTACCCCCACTCACCGAACCCCGGCGTCCTGTTGGCCAGGCTGGAGTAGGCGTTCCCACTGGGTGAGGAGGTAGCAGGGCTGGAGAGGGGACTGTAGGAAGACGGGTCGGCAGGGTAGGTGTGGCTTGTCCCAATCCCAAACGGGGATGACTGAGTCTTGCTAGACTGAGATGGAATTTGCTAAAACCAGGAAAAATCAAACAAACAGAAGCATCATCAATGCCTGGCTCCCTGGGCCAGTCACTGCTTCAGCAGAGGCAAAAGGCAGTGGGTGGTGACTGTTGGGCCCAATACTGACTCCCCGGGGGCCTCTTGGCTGGCTGGTGGCAGGCATTGTGCTATGTGACTGTAGGCAGGTTTGGTTGGAGAAACCCAGTCTGGGGACAGGTTTCCATAGCCAGGGGACCTTGGTACCATAAGTACCAAGAATACCTTCAACCCAATCAGCACATATCCTCCCAAGGGCTGGCAGAGCATTAGATTCTCCTGTACTCCTGGGCCAGAGTGGGGAGGGGCCTAACTCTCAATGGAGGGCCTGTCTGCGAACCTGGCCCCTCTAGACAGCTTCCCAGAGGCTGGAGTCAGATGTGGTGAGACTGTTAGGGACCCGTTCTCAAGGGCCCTTAGGCTAGCCAGTGCTCTTGAGCGCCTAGCTGTGGATCGGGGAGGTCAGCTCCACCTTGAAGCACCAGCCTGTCCTGGGAGCTAAGACTCAGAGCAAACACGTCCTGGTAGCTCTGCCCAGTTGGGAGAGAAAGGCTGCTAGGCCCCTGGGGCAGCATCCTCTGAAATGCTCATACCTGCCCGGGAAAGGGTGGACGGCTCCCTGTCCATGCCACCTGGCTCTGGTTTAGCTGTCGGGAGATCTGGGACATGTTCTGGCCCGTTGATGAGGAGGACTGAATATCATTCACCCCAGGCACGTGGACCACCGAGGAGCTGGAAGAGAAGAAAACGTTTTCACCCAAGGACTGTCCTGCCTTGGATGTGCTCACGGGGACAGCCCCTCATCTGGGCCACCTTACCACCTTCTCTGTCCCCAGCGCAGCACCCATTCCTAGAGAAAAGGCCATCCCCAGGTGAACCACAGAGCCACCCAGCCTATGTTCTCCCTCTGCCATCCCAAGGGGCCCTGTGTCCCTCTCTTCCTAATTCAGCCTCAGCCCTCCGCGGTGCTCTCTCCAAGTCAAGGCCCCGTCCTCCCCTCTGGTCTCCTTTGCTTTCAACAGAGGGCTGGACTCCCAAGAAGATGGAAACTTCTCAGACTAAGCATCAGCCCCGGTGTTCCTGTCTCCCTTTGTGTGCAGGTTAATTTGTTCCTCTGGGGGTGCCTGGAAGGCTGAGGGATTCCGAAATAGGATGCAGGCTGCCCGGGAGTCCGTTTTGCACAGAAATCAAAGCTGCCAGTGGAAGCCTGCTGGGGCGACCTAGTCCTACTGCCCAGCACATGCTCTTGTGGCTCTCCTCCCCGCTTCCCCTCAATTCATCTTCAATCTCATCCAATCAAGCTTTCCAAGGTCCTCACTGCATGGCTCTGCAGGCCCGTTCACAGGCTCAGTCCTGACCTCTGTCTGCATCCCTGGGCAGATCTCGCAGGAGAAGTTCCTGGCTCTATCAGTTAGGCAAAGGGGCTTGGAAGAGTTGGTGGGAAAGTGAGATGAAAGGATTATGGAATTTCTCCACGACCTTTTGGAAGCCCCTCATCCAGTGAGCCCACTGCAGATCAGGAGGTGGGAGGACTCACCCGTTGTTCAGGCCCTTCCGCCTGCCTCCCCGGGACTCGCTCAGGGTACAGGGCAGGGCACAGGGGGCCCATGAGCGAACCAAGAGGGTTTGGAATGAGGCCTGTCACAGGAGGCTCTGGGTGGAGGTGGGCTTTCAAAGAAAGGCACCAGTAAGAAGTGTAGGTCCAGTTTTATGAACCGGGTTGTAATCTTGTCTTTCTGTGCTATCTGATCCCTGCTTTCACGGGGAGGATACACTGCAAAGCGACCACTGCAGAATGAGTTCAGTTGCTTATGCACAGGGAAGCCTTATTCCAGGGGTCCTCAAACTACGGCCCACGGGCCGCATGTGGCCCACCGAGGACATTTATCTGGCCCGCCGGGTGTTTTTGCCCCGTTTGTTTTTTAACTTCAAAATAAGATATGTGCAGTGTGCATAGGAATTTGTTCATAGTTTTTTTTAAAATTATAGTCCAGTCCTCCAATGGGTCTGAAGGACAGTGAACTGGCCCCCTGTTTAAAAAGTTTGAGGACCCCTGCCTTATTCCATCTTCTTCCAATCAGTTCTGCACTTTACATGAGGGGATGGAATGAGGGAGTGATTTCAGATGGTAATTTCAGATTTCTGTTTCGTGCACTGCCTGCCTCCACGGCATTAGTAAGGTCCAGCTGTCACCCTGTTGGCTGATGGCCTCCTGGCTGAATGAAAGGCAAGACTTCTGATGGCCAATGTTAGGACCTTGTGCCCAGCATTCCCATGAGCCTCTGGGTTATAGCTGCCAGCCTTAGTATAAAGGCCAAGGCAGCAGACCACCTGTAACCATGCTGGAAACCAAAGTTGTTCACCCCACACCATTCCCTACCCCAAAAGCAGCTAAGGTCCTTTAGATTTAAAGGGCATTCTGTCTCCTCCCAGGCTTAAGGCCCCATCCATCCATCTATCCATCCACCTATCCACCTACCAAGCCATCTATCCGCCCATCCACCCATCAATCTATCCATCCATCCACCCATCCTCCTGCCCACGTACCCATCAATATATCCATCCATCCACCCACCCACCCATCCATTCATCCATCCACTCATCAATCTATCCATCCATCCACCCATCCTCCTGCCCACGTACCCATCCATCCACCCCATAGACTAACATCATAAGCATTTCCAGCTGCTACCCCCTCACCCCTTCCCCACACAACAAGCCAGCCCTTCCTTCTCTTACTGCCCTCTACCCACTCTTTTGTTTCTATGACAGCAGCCTGGTGAACACAGGCTCCTCCCTCACAGCACCCTCTCACCACCGCCAACAGGAATACCCTACAGGAGGCATTTCTTCAAGACACGCTTCTTAGAAAGCAAGTCCGCATGCCATGGCCTGGCACACAGGCCCCCAGTCTCATCCTCTGCTTCTACGGTATGTGGACATCCATCCTAACCACACCCGTGGACAACGCACAGCTCTGAAGAGTTTTTAAGCCTCGACCGATCCTCAGGGGGCCTGGCCTGGGATAATGTCAGGCTGCCGGTTGTCCTGGAGTGACCTTCCAGACTTGAGACCCTAACATGACAGGCTGAGCTGTCCACTCTCCACTGGACTTGCTTCTGAGCTCTTGGGGATGATGAGACAGGGAATTTCCGGTTATCTTGCCAGGTATCTGCAGCTCTGCCCCATCTGGGTCATGACTGGAGGCCAATTCCCTGGCCTGTCACACAGACACCTCTACAGAACACGGCCACTGACACTATGCATTGACGACCACCCAGCCAAGTGTCACAGAGCAAACGCAGG